GCATAATGTCACACATCAGCAATACTTTTGAAATAATTTTCACTACCCACCATTTGATAGGTCCCTGTGTTCTCTTCATCGAAATGATCCAATTTTTGCTCGATCCACTTGGTCACCACTTCTGCGCGACTGCTCGCCTGCTCAATGGGCGGCTCGCGATTCAAATAGTTCAAAGTTTGCACAAAGAGATTGCCTTCGGAGGTGGTGGCATCAAAGAATTTTGCACTCAACTTTTCCAAACTCACTTTAGCCGTGGACGCAGAAACGCTCAAGGCGAGCACCAGCAGCAGCAATTGTTGTAGCGACTTCATTTTGCCAAATGACCACTGGCTAATTTTCATAGTCCTATAAATACATATGTATGTATCTACTTCAGTGCCCACTTATGTCTGATGGTTTTTCTGTAACTTTATTACTCACGCTTTATTGATTAGATTTGGCTGATTAAGATATACAGCATTTATTACCAAGTTGATTATGATTAGTTAACATTTAGTGTAGCTATCGGCCTTACTAGTTTCCGTACGATAAGCATTCGAATATTTTTGTTGTTGTTTGGTTATTGCAATATCCTTGCGCCTTAAACATTGAACAAGAGAGTTCAGTACTCTGCCGACCATACATAAGATTCTTATAGTATTGCCGTTGAGGATTTGTATTATGGATAATCTAAAACAATAAAGTAACCATAGGATAGATATGTTTTACATCTTTCTTTAAGGTCAAGCAGTATCTGCCAACAGACAATGCCCGGTTAGAACATCAATCTTCGTAAGCTCGATATTACACGCTGTCCACATAATCCTAGGCGATTTGCCACTTACGCCTCTCGGATTATGCAAAGGTCGATCTCCCGTTTAATCGCTGGAAGGGAAATCAGCTCTTCCTCCATCAGCGTACTTTCTGACAGTGCAACTTCTTTGGCAAGGCTCTGCCTTCTCGTTGTCCATTACAGCTGTGTGCCACGGAATCCCGTACAGATGTACGTCTGTGCCCTTGTATAGCAAATCTAAACTGCCCTGCACTCCACAACACTTCTTGAGAAAGTGGCAGTCGATATAGAGCAGCCCTGGGCGGCGTCCGCCCGGCGGGTGACTTCGCGTATACATCCACGCTCTGCTTGAGAAGGCAGCGAAAGCTTCATTTAACTGCACGACTTGTTCGCACGCACACAGTGGCATCAATCGCCTACACCTCAGACATAGACACTGGCGCCTTTATTTGTTAGGTTGTTGCTCCGCCGCTCTCTTTGTGGTCAGTTCTTCCGCCTAGAAAATGTTGCAATGCTCCGGCAGCTTATAAGATTTATTAAGATCGAGCTTAGTGCAGATGACTGCACCGCTCATGCCGTTGTCAATATTCTACCCGTTTGTGTGCCTCCGCCGAGTCAGATCTACGCATGCCCTCACGCCTCAGCTCTTAGACCTATAAATCGGCTTCGAAATGCGTCCCAAAGTTCAAATCCGGGATCATGTACTTAGACAATCCATCCGGGGCTATACTACTGGGTCCGTAGGACCTGCATACAAGCTTTCTCGTAGCATTAAGCCTGACGGAAGGTTTGAGCGCTATATTCTTGACCGACAGGTCCGCCGGCAAGAGATGCAATAAGGTATGAAGTGCTTCTTTTGGATAGCCTATTTACACTTTCTCTCCATCAAACCAATACCTCAGGGAACAGTATTGGCCTAACGATTGCCATGAACATCTAGTGAGAAAGTGAGGTGATAAGCCCCAGGTGCTGTCCAGCATATTTTTGCGGCAGGCTCATTCTACTAGAATATCTCTTCAAAGCTTGACTTAAGCCATCGTTTGCAGGTATATAGCGGGGCAAGAGGAGCTGACATCAGACAGATTGGCTCCCTTCCTCCCCAGTTCTTCTTACGTGCAACTGTCTTCTATTTATGCATCTTAACCAGAAGAGAGTTACAGCTGTGACTTTGTGTTCCAGTAGTAATTCACGACAAGTGCTCTCTCTACAAATTTCTGCAGACCCTGCAGGTTTGAATGCCCTGACACCAGTGATTAATCATATTCAGCTAGCGATTAAAAATCTGGCCCTTAATATAGTTTAGCGGAACACTTTTGAAATACTCAGGAACAATCCACCAGCCCAGCTCGTCCGCCAATTCGTTGCCAGATCAGAAAAGCGAACATGATTCCACCTCGTAATCCTTTAGCGAGCTACACAATAGGAGCCTGAAATGATTTTAAGTCATATGGAATGGGCTTCTAATGGAAAGTTATTGATCAAAACTCTTACCAGAACCGAAATTTCACGCTTAGGTGGCTAAAAAAGTTCCCTTGACTGCCCACAGATAGGCAGTCGATTATCGGCCAGAAAGGCTAAGCATCTTTTCATGTCGCTTTCTTCGCCCAGCTCTTGCTGTCCAGTAGCAGTCTGCTGGTTGCCTATAATTTCCCTTATAGGAGAGATGACCGTACCTAGCTAATTCATCAGCCTAACAGTTTTGTTGTTGCTATTGTAACGGCTAATTAGTCCTCTCTAAAATCGATCGTTGTCGTCAATATCACCTAACCGTAGTCCAGGAAAATGTTCGGTTTCGATGGGGTCGGACCAGAGGGAGAAGGGTATTAGTTCAGTTGGATTGAGTGGATATGTGAAGGGGATGTTGGTGTCACCTGGCGAATCTTCTTCATACACTGGGTGCATCGGGGTATATCCTGCATAACCTGCATAAGTAGGAGTTTAACGTACAACAGTATCCAGAGTTTGCTGTTTTCTGCATTGCCACTCGACCAATGCCGACCAGTTTCGATTGCACCAAAAGGAATCCTACACTCCCGATTGTCGGCTGGGTGTTAGAGTAGATACTTTCCGTTTTAATCATTATTACACTGCTATATGGCCAGTTGATTATCTATTTTATACATAGCTGCCACCTCTGCTTAAAACAAGCTGTAAAATTTCGGAAATCTAAATTTGAAATTAACAGAGAGTTTCTGACACAACACGCCTCTTCCAACTTCGATTCATGCCTAGCAAACAGACTGCGGCAGCCTTACCACTAATGTATACTCATGGAGGCTACCGCCGCCACGGCCTGCTCTCCGAACAGAACCTCCGGAAATAGGATAATCTCTGCCATCAGATTGACTACCTTTTCGATGCCATAGGTTATGACTGCGTGACACTCACCGATTGGCAGAGGGACTCCGCATTTTGCGTTTAGTGATACCGTTCCTCGCATCTATCCAAATTGACAACCTTTCTGCGATGCGTAGGTAAGTGCGGATTGTAGTAGCGGATAATTTCCTTAATCTCCTCGAACGCGGAAGGATTGATTGGGATCCAGACACAGGCACGCGGACTGTCCAGTGCTTCGAGCTTGGCGCCTTTCCAACCTTCCCCAGATACACTGCAGCCTCGTATAATCACGCCGGCTGTTCGTCGGTGTAGATAATACATTCTTTCTGACCACCTTCAAAAACGCAGAGGGGATGGCTGCCGACACTCATTTCCAGTTTTCCTCTAAATATGGCGCAGTCTTCTCTGCTGTACTATACCATCTCCTGGATGACGGATCCTGCCTGCCTAGCGTATATGTACCGATTTTGCGGTATAGTAACGATTTTGAGAAAACTGCTCCGCTGAAATTTTTTTTAAAGTCGGGACATATAAGGTGCTGCGCATTTTCGCCATATAAAAAATTGTCGAACATACTTTTTACGGAATAAAATGCGCGAACAAAAATTGCCAAAAATCAACTGTAACTCCATGCTACTAACAAAATCTGATTAAAATATGTATCAACATTTGTTAAAATTCGTCGATATTTTATAAATGTTCTACAAAGTTTTAAATTTTGATTTACACCTGCGTTCTAATAGACTAATTAGAAACGAAATTCAAAAGGATATTCTTTGCAAATTATTTTTAATAATAAATAAATTTTGATGAAAATTTTTTTGCAGTTTTTGCAAGCTTTGAAACTTTTATTATTGTGGTTTCTGTTACAGATTGAATATATTTTAAATGAAAATTATTAAAAATAAAAAAATAAACATAATTTGAAAACAATATCATTTTGCATTTGAAAATATAATAAACATTTGTAAACAAAGAAAAGTAGCTAAAACTTGCTAAAATGTATTTTCCCTATTTACATTCTCGCCACGGTATATATTGTATGAATGCATTTTCACGATAATTTTTCAACTTTTTTTCTCCCCATTTTGTTTTAAATAATACTGTATTAAAAGATGTTACGTCTCTTTATTCTAAAAACAAAACTGTATGTTTGGATTCGATGCTTTAGAAATGTCCCGATTTTTGTCCACAGACATCTGGTCACCGTACGTATACGCTAAACAAGATGGTTGCATTCCTAGTTCCTAGACTTTTTGACAAGGAAGTTTTCCATCTTGAGACCTCTGCCTCTTGGAACCAGGCGCTAAGGGAATTGCGCACGTGTATGTGTACCTTAGAAGAACGCTTTAATTCCAACTTTAGATTGTGTAACATCCCTTTGACAACCCTGTAAGCAGGGCGATCTCAACAATGCTCTTGTAGGCCGGAGATCACAATTACAAGCTTACAGATGTTATGTTATGTTTCACTTTGGTTATAAAGATTTTTCTATCAACTGAATGTTTATATATTACAATCCAAAAAAGCACAAAATTACTAGTTTTTCGTAGATTTTACTTTTATTTCTGCACATTTGCCCAGTTTTACCGCTAGGTTATAAACTATTTCATAATTACCAGTACTAATATGTTACGTAATTTTCGCAAACAAACTTTCCGTTTTATTATTGGCATTATCAACACCCAGCCATTTACGTACCAATTCGGCTATTTTAAGCTTGGAAGCGCGCAACTCGGCAGTATCACTGTCGCTTATCGAGCCAAAGTCCTTGCAGTGGGCATAGACTAAGAAGAAGGCCAAAAATTCATTAACAACGGTTGTCAAAAATTGTAATATGTATGTCTTATATACTAAATATACTAAAAATTTTCAGCATTTACGCGGTAGAATCGTCGCCTGCTCTTCATCATGTATGCCCATCGCACGCCACGGATCCAATTGACCATGTGTAAAGTAGACATTCTCCACATTTGGTTCAAGGCCACCGAATAATTCATTGGTGGCAGCTACCTGGTTGTTTATGAACTCGTTGGTAAACTGCTCGCCATAGAGGTCCTGACACATTTGGATATAAAGCGTCACAGGGAATTTAGTGCCAAATGGCTGATTTTGGGAGCCGGAAGTCTGATACCAACCGTACTCATTGCAGGTCTGGTAGATCCATTGTCGCACTGAAAAATTGCAAATCAGAAGCGGAGATTAAAAACAATTTTTTTTTTCAATTCTTGGGTCGCTTACTTATGTCGCCAGTGTAGCTGGAGTCTAGCAAACTGGCTATAATTGATTTATAGCTTAGTTGATTGCAAGAACTATTACCGAATTCAGTTAATAAATAGCCCGCCACACCAACGATATCATTTTCACCTTCCATGATTTTACTGCAGACGCCTTCAATTTGACCAGTGCTGAGAAAAATTTGTGAAATCGATTTCATGTTCTTGATTAATAGCGTTGTTTTTTCCTTGTTTTTGCTATACTCACTTGTGCGTCTGCACGACACCTGCAAATATATCGGAAATCT